CTGGAAATGCCGACGCTTGTCCGAAAGAACCAGCTCGGGAAGCAGCCGAAATCATGCTAGGGTCGGAGAGAAACACCAGACTACCAGCTATTCTCCATCTCAGATGCTCTTCGGTCGAGACCTTCGTCTGCCTTGTGACCGCCTGTTTGATCGCCGTACGGATGCGCCTTCATCGCCTGAGGAACACATCCAAGATGTCCAGGCCCGTTTTGAAGTGATGACACCGTTCCGCACGAAAGCGTGTCAACTTGGCGACGGAAAAAGTGAAGACCAGATACGACACGTGAGCTACTGGATATAGATCCAACAAAAGGAGACAAGGTGTGGTTGTGTGAAACCCGATTCAAAGAAAAGGACTCAGTCCTAAATTACAGTCACCTTCGGATGGTCCATATACATGCTGAACAGACTGAATGACGTCGTGGTTCGGATCCGTAAGTCTTCGAACTCTAAACCTAGAGTCGTTCATTACGACAGGTTAGCTCATTACTATGGCCATAGTACGTAATTGTAAATAGTATCAGACCATGGTCCTTTTTGTTTATAAACGTGTATTTGATTTGATTTGTATTTAGTATTTGATTTGCATTTAGTATTTGATTTGTATTTAGCATTTGATTTGTTTAAGTTAGTTATTGCATTTATTGTTTATATTGTTTGATATTGTAATGTAATGTTATGCCTCAGTTAATGCATTTATGCCACAGTTGTAAGTTTAGCTTCCTGTCCAGGGATTGTACTGCCCGGGACGTGCAGTCCTTGGGAAGGGGGCAGTGTTACGAATTTGGTATTTAAAAAGCTAATGTTAGTTCAATTATAAATTAAATGGTTTTATTTCTCGCGCAGTGCAGCGCGTGACGAATATTAAAAGAAAGCTAAGCCGGAAAGCCGGAAAATTGAAAAATACAAGAGCGCGTGCGTGCATAAATAAATAAATATCTCTTTTTGATTTCGAGAAAGTACTGGAAAATTCTAGCGCGTGATTTTAAAAATCTTATAAAAGGAGGAAAACATCTCAGTTTGTAGTAGTTGCTTAGTTTGTTGTTGTTTAGAAAACTGCTCTTGTTGATTGTAGCGAATTCGCGGATTAGCGTTCTTTAGCTGTTTTGAATTACGTTCTATTGGACATTTGAGTAGTTAAAAGATAACTACTGTGAGATATTGTAATACTGCATGATAATTTGAGAAAATTTAAGCATTTTTGTTGTGATAATAATAAATTTTTGTTCATTTTTCATCGGACTTGTGCATTCATTTCATAACGAACCCGTACGCAGCAAATATTTATGTTAACACTATAATTTCTCTTTTAGATCATATTTTATAATGGCGCATTTGCCTTTTCATGTCAATTTGAAAAATTTTTTCGTATTCAGCGTAAGTATTCAAACTTGATAAATATCGTAAAAAATAATGGATTAATTTTTTTGTTGAAAACGTTGTTTTCATTAAGATGGCTGACAAATATAAATAAATACATTAACTAAGAGTATAAAATGCTAAAGTAAGGTTAAGTTATTACTTTCATATAATAGAATAAAAACATTGCGCCAACATTTAATTGGAATAAAATATTACTTAAATTCAATATTGAATTGAAACATCATACCAACGTTTAAAAAGAATTAAAATTTTTCAATTACTTAAATTCAAATCCTTTAAAATAAGTTTATAGGATATAATTATTTAACATTAAAACATGTGGCAATAAATATCTCAGGAAATTTTAAAAAAAATGTATTAAATTTTTAATAAAAAATTGAAGTATACGATAATAAAGTAAAAGAAAATATGTACTTACATTTTTTTAAGCATTTTACCATACGGATATTGATAAGCACCAGGGAAAAAAAAAATCTTCATCTGTTATCCACATTTCTCGCACTTCATTGAAGAAGCAATTAGCGAGGTTTTCTTCAAATATTTTAAATAAATTTCCTCTGACCCTTGTAACAATAAATAAATCTTTGATTAGGAAATCCAGGTTGGCCAAAATAAGGTCTCAAACGGCAATTTTTTATGCCGATACCAATAATTCTTGGTAATTACCACTAACAACATTCATCTTCGAAACGGAGACATCCATTCGCTTTGAAATCTGAGGAATTCGAAGCGATGAATAATAAAATTTTAAAATGGCGCGGTAATGCACAAATATTCAGTAACCAATCAGAGAGCTGATTACATCACGCCTAGAATTAAAATTATTTTAAAATAATCATTCATAATAAAATCATATTTAAAAATGCAAAATTAAATTGTGTTTTAATATTTAACAGCCATAAATAATGTTTAAAAACATTAGATTAAATTTATAGATATTAAAACCAATTACTTTTAAAAATAATGTGACGTCATTCATTACATCACTCACAACATAAAATTCCATAAAATATCATAAACAATAAAATTTTTATTTCAAATAAAAATGCAAAATTAAATTCATTTTTATTATTTAATCATAAATAATATTTAAAACACGGAATTTATGCATAATAAAACGCATTATTTTTAAAATAAAATGACAACAAAGTATCGGTTACCATAAATAACTTGTCTAGCAATGGGTTTACCATAAGTCGTATCGCTCGCCAAAAAGAAATCGCCAAAAAATCGCCAAAATCCGTGCAACCGTCTACCAAAGTAGCACCGCCATCGGATTTTGAATGACGTAATCCTTCTACGAATATGGGCATGTGGAAGACCAAATTTGAAATTTAGAATTTGCTTTATTATCGATTCATATTTTTTAAAACTTTGTAACGAATTTTTCAAAGCGAGCAATGGCAACACTCTACAGGGAGGGAAAAAAACCCTTTTTACCTCCAGCGCCCTTCGCGGAACTGTATATCGGAAATTCTAAAGATATGCTAAATTTTAAGATTATTTTGCGACATTGCTATCGAACTGAATTTTATGGTTTAAGTGCAAAGAACATGATATTTAATAAATAAATAAAGATAACACACAAAACGTTAAAAAAACGCTCCTTTGGACGTATTTTAAAATCTGAAACCTTTCATATTTAGAGTGCCTCCATGCCGCACAGACACTATATACATTTACAAACATCCATTCCTTCTCTGGAATTCGAACCCGAGCCCTTCGGCACGGTAGTCAACGACTCTAACCACTATACTAGTTGGGTATTTTTATTCTAATCTTTTGCTGCATTTCGGATCGAAATTACCAGTGTTCATGATTTATTGCTTTTAATGCTGTTATTATTGTAAATAGCTAATTATAAATTTTTTCGACTCTGAAACGTCATCGGTATAAAGATGCACACCTTAATTTTAGTTTCAACAGTTATAAGTCTCCCTTGTTTCCGCATGCCTTCGTGATGTAATTGAGAGCACATTCGACCCGTATTCGAGAGCTCCAGAATTCGAATCCCGGGGAGGGTATTGCACGTTTTTCACGTCTCCAACTCAAAAATAAAATAAATAAATAACCTAATGACTGTATAAGTGGCATCCAAACTTAAGGATGGTGAACAATAACTCGTCACCATCAGGATTTGGCGACTAGGCTCCTAATCCCCAGTCGCCTTTCAAAAAGGGGGGAGTATATAAGGTATTTTCTCCCTCCTTTTCGCATGCCTTCGTGGTGTAATTGGAAGCATACTCGACGTGTATTCGAGAGGACCACGTTTTGAGTCCCGGTGAGGGCATTGCCCCTTTTCCCCGACTCCTGCTTCAAGAAAAAAAGCCCTAATGACTTTACAAGTACAAAAACGAATTTTATTCTAAGAAAATAAAATTAATGTAATAAAACTATAATAAATGTTATTTTATATTTGATTTGATTTTTAAATAAAAATATTCCGATTTAAATTAGTAATTTATAAAAAAAAATTTTACTTCGGAATAATGAACAATTCTTGAAAATTTAGGATCGTGAGATATATCGACATTTTTTTATTTATCGGCGTTTCGATGAGGAAACTGTGCGTCTTAGAATTGAAGATATATAGTGAATTGGTTTTTTTGAGCATAAAATTAAAATTAATATCAAACGCTATACATACATACATACTTACATACATAATTTGTGATACTGTTTACTTCCTTAATTATTTCTGTGCAGCCTACAGTACTGAGATCTGTAGTAGAACAGTAGTAGCCTACAGTACTGAGATCTGAAAAAAACTACGAGGGCAGTAGAATTATGGAGGATATGACAAAATTCAAAATAGGATGTGACAATAAATAATCATTTTGTTAGACCTTCAATTCCTTTTTTATTGCAACTAGGTAACATTGGTGAGTGTTGAAAGAATTGTCGTGACGAATTTAAAATACAACAAGAAGTTAAAAACAGTGAAACGATGGTGAATATTCATTGTTATTGTTACGAAATATCGAGATATTAAAAACAATTATAACATACTACAGCAAAAACTAATTTTTAATTCCAGTTTCAGTGAGACGAAAGGACTCCCACATAACAATGTTGAAAATGAACGTTTTGAGGCTTCGACTAAAAACCATTTTGATGGAGATTTCAGTTTGATAATCTGAAATTTATTTTCAGCTATTGAATTACTTCCTGTCCTAATTTGATATTGAATTCCTTCCTGAATTACTAATTTGATGTCATTTATTTTCAGCTATTGAATTACTTCCTGTCTGAGATTTTGAGAAATGTGAATAGACATGAACTAACCTCGTAAAATGAAAAATTTTCGTGAAAGAATTCGAGGGAAGAGTGAAATTCAAGTTCTAAAACAGTAACAATGTTGTTAAAGCCATACATTTGAAAGAGTCCAGTTTCGTAAAGCGATAACGGAGCTCATTTATAACAATCAAACAACACATGTCATTTTCCACCCATAACATACCTACAAACGCTAAGCATTCATTATATTATTACTGAAAGTTTTATTAATTAAAATAACACTAATAAATAAGTTGCTGACATCTTATATCTTTCTTCAAATTTTGGCCCACCTTGTATATGACAGTATTCTTTCTGTAATGTTGCATTTATATTTACAGGCTGGCAAACATGCGGGTGAAACGCGTTCATGGCTTTGCAAAGGGATTCGACTACAGACCTGGCCATCAGTTCCATCCAGGTGAAGACATTACGCATGCGTGGAATGCAGTGTTCATTTTCGGTGCTTGGCGTCTCATAGATGTCACGTGGGGGACAGGTAAGAAATAATATTAGCACATAAAGTGCATAACGTAACTTTCATTTGTATATATAGAATAATTCTAAGAATTATTTAACCAACTTTCTTAATCTAACTTTGTAAAGGAACATCGGAAGAAAAGTCGTCGTTTACATATGCCAAGAATTATCTACCTAAAATCGATTTTATTTCGAAACTTTTGCGGTTGCTATTCTATAAAAGATAAATTTACAAAATGATATCAGAAGTATGACTGGCATTTTACGTCTTCTTTCTTCGAAACTTCTTACGCATGAAAAAAACTACGAGGGCAGAGATGATGTGATCAGAACAGTCGAGAAACTGACGAAAGGCAGAAGTAGAAAAAGCGATAGATCTATTTAAATAAAGAAATTTGAAATAATATGGATTTCTTAATAGCTGTATATGTGTAAAAATCAGTGCACGTTAGCATACACGTAAACAGAAACAAACAAAAACTGGCAAACAGTAACTGCGCAACAAAACAGAAACAGCGTAAAGGGTATATGGGAAAGATCTAACATTATAAGAAGCTGTAAGATCTAACATGATAAATGTGTACTTGGAATAACTGGATTTACGAGTATCGAATAAGCGCGGTCATTTATTAAATATATTTAAACTACACTTTTAAAAGAACAATGAAAATATTTCAGGGTTATGAAAAGCCCTCACAAAATTTATAAAAGTCTTGATTAATTTCGTTGGCATTAATGTTTTGTGGCTGAATTTAATTTCTAACTACGTAGCCCTATACATATCCCCATATGGAAAGTAGTCATAAAAGGTAAAACTATTTTATCTTAGAATTATTGTAATCTTATTAATAATAAATAACTATATCTAAATGCTAAAAGATAAAAATAATATATATAATGATTGTGTGATTATATAAGTACATACAAACACCCACACACACATATATATATGTTTTTTCTGCTTCTTTCTTTGGACCAACTCTCCTGATGACGATGCAGCGAAATACACAAATTTCTTTTTTAATTTTTGGTTTTTGGCATTTTTTGCCCCTTTCATGCAGTTTTCCATTGTTCTTCTGCTTTTTATTTTCCCCCAATATGATTTATTTTGAATTGAATACAGGATAGATCTTAAACGTTTTATTTATTTTAGTTTATTTTGCATTATGATCATCACTTATTTCCGTTAAAGAGGACGTAAGCGGTGCTGCATTTGGGCTGCTGTCAGTGCTATGCAGCATTTAGAATTTCGGGCAGATAGGTCGCCGTTATGAAGTCGTCTGGCCACAGTAAATCGGAAGAATCGTCGTTTGGTTGACGTGCGAAATTTCTGAGCAATGTTGCTCACTCTCTGGTTTCGATATCTTTTCGCCTGCAAACCAATATATCAGTCATCAGTCACCGTTGTTTTCCGTGGCCGACCACCAGCAGCCTTTCTTACATTGGAAGGCTTTCCAAGCTCGTGAAAACACTTTTATCAATTCTAAACTCTTGCACAACTGACATCAAATTACGCCTCTCCTCAAGAAATCATGGCCAGTCATTCAGTCAAGTGTAAAGGCGCTCTGGTGTTTTCTTGTGGCACGTACAATTTCACTTTCAGTAACAAAAAGAAACGCCTGTAAATGCACCTTCCTTTCTTCTTTTTAAGTTGCCTTACTCTGAGCTCGCTGACTTGGCCTCTCCGCTTGTGTTACACCTGAATTCTTAGCCGTATCGCCCACAGAAGGTTAACTCAGGGTGAACTTACTTGAAATTCAACGAGATGTAAAACGGTCTTGTCGAGCTAACGTGCTTTACTGCTACTGTTTTGGGCAAATTGCAAATTGCTATGGTTTGAGTTTGCTTTGATTACAAACCTATCACTCAGATCTCCATTAAGTTTTATTTTACGTCATGAATGAAATTTTGGGAGCATAACGATAGGTCATTTGCCTTATATTTTCATCGGCATAAGTGATTCCTCACTAGATACGAACTACAGACTGGACATGACGTCACTGCCTACCATCAGTTTATTATTCCCACTGAAGGACGTACTGTTATTTCTCAGACCTGTGCTGTCTTGCGGTCTCCCCTTCTCACCATTAAAGCCTCGCTTTTTAGTAAAATGCACCAGAAAAACTCAACTGTCAGGTGGCCCACAGAACAATTATTTCAAAGAGCCGGAATACGTCATACAAATAGTATGATATTCGCGGCATATCAGCGGCACTTGGACTTGGCTCGCTGACTCCTAGCATTTTGCGTGACCTGACGTACCCTCTGACGTCATGGTAATGATATCTGCATATGCATTTCCTTTCTATTGAGTAGACATTTCAATGCATTGATCGCAAAAAGCCCTTTTCAACAATTTCATTATTGAATGTAGAAAAATGAATTGGCTTCTTAATGTTTGGATACCACTGTATATGTGTGCCTGGCCGAATATGCTCAGCTTATAAATTTTCTAATTCCTAATTGTATATAGTATTTCATCATCATAGCATGTTTCTTCCACAGTTGTACAATACAATAAAATTTCTTCTTTCTGGATAACGTTAGGCTTGCATTGATTCATTAGCATCAGTATTAGTCTCAGTAGTTAAAGAAATGTTTCATTTTAAATTAAATCTAATTAATTGTTATATTGCACCTGTGTAACGTTTCCTGCTGCTCCGAATTATGCTCCGAATAGAACTTCTAACTAAACTTCAATAACATTAACAAGAATTAAAGCTAAAATATTTATTAAAACTTTACTTCTTATATGTCTTATTTGTAACGTACTTTACAAATCGCTCGACACTCTTGGACCTGCTTCTTAGAAGGTGTTTCTTCACAGTTTCACAAGTTACTGAATGATTACCGCAGTACAATTTTGATTTAAATTGATTTCCAAAAATACTCGCTATTTAGACCAAGTTAATCAGCATTCTGGTGAGGCCACACAGAAAAAAGTGAGATACAAAAATGTCAGCCATAAAATAACATGCTAGTTAAAATAAAGCTTATAACTTGCATAACAGAAATTTCGCCAATATTGCAATACAATTTCGTAATAAAAATATCTTATCATGGTAGTTTTATGTTGTCTAGTTTTATAATCTAATCTCAAACATTTGCTGCCACGGGAAAAATTTCCGCATTTTCTTAAACAATCTGTAGAAGTAAGTACGGGAGTTGGGCTCCGATTGACTGCGGCTGAATTCAAGCACTGTGCAAATATTGAAAACGTTCAGTACGAATAAATTGCCCAATTAAATTCAGTAAGGTAGCGAAATAAATAAATAAGAAACAGATTAGATTTGATCGCGAAACTTAAAAGTCTCTAAAACCGTTAAATACCAAATAAATTTAATAAAGGAAACAGCGGCAAATCTAATCTGTCTAAAAAAAAGTACAACCTAAGAAACAAGCCTAAAAAACAAATAGGTTGTGTAAAAGGCTTATTTCTGAACAGCCTTAAAACAAAAAGTAGGGAAGATGATGGATTTGGAAAGGGCTGTTTAGTTTCCGTTAATAATCTGGTAGTACTTCGTTTTTTGTAGTGGATTTACCCTTTTGTTCGGGGAACAATCCAATGAAGAGCACTTACAAATTGGGAAACATTGGCAAAATGATGAGACATGTTCACGATAAAATACGAACGTTTTCGAAAGATTAAATCTTCAAGGAATTGGAGATAATAACACTCACTGAGTGATTTATTGCAAAATCATTATTCTTTCTGGTGTTATGTCAACCCAGATAAAGTGCGAATAGAAGATAGCAATGTCGAGCTGTCACCCTATGATCCCAAACTGGTCGTGCACGAGTGATCCATGGGAGTAATTGCTTTGATTGATTTTCCAATGCCTTGTTATTGAGACATTAAACTAATTCAAACGGAAACCGTGGCCATTGTTTGTCTGTTGCTGATACAATGGTATTATTAAATAATCGTAACTGTTTTTCTGTACATTTTAATGAATTACTAGATCTATAAATGGACATATGAATTATTGGACACATGAACAAATATTGTGAAAAAGAAAACAGTTGGAATCGATGAATCTGGAAAGCAACCATTCTCTTGACTATAGTCGAACAAAGGACATTTATAGATCAGTGCTCTCATTATTACACTGTAGCAGTACATAAAAGGAATGTCTTTACATTACTATTAGCATCGAAGAAGAAGAAACTAAAAAATTGAAATGTTAGTATAAAGTAACGGAATTTAATATTTTTTTTTAAATTCATTCAATCTAATCTCAAACATTCGTTAAGGTGTCTTTCTGTTTCAATGTGGCCACTAATCAAAACATAATGCCCTAGATTTTATGCTTTTTCTGCTTCTTTTACCATCATTTTATTATATATATATATATATTCGTTCCATATATAAAATACCGATAATTCGTTAGGCTAGATAAATCGTTAGCCTAGATTTTCCTGACTTAGGAGATAGAAATGAATAAAAGGATGACACTAAAATTCAGTGACTAGGTAAGTTTAATGCGTTAATGGCAGCAAAACTGTAAATAGTGCAAATTTTGCTATTTTGAAGAACACTCTCACACAGTAATTGTTTTATAAGACATTCGATTATTTATATTCTTTAAATGCTTTAAATATTAGTAAACATACTGTTCAAAATAATTAAACGATCAGTCCCTATTGAGAAATAGTTATCGCTTTCAGAAAATTGAAGTGCACGTGCCTATGTAGCCATAAAAACATAGGGTACTAGAAATTTGTTTAAAAAATATTTTGGTCAATTTGAAAGAGTAAACAAAAATTCAATTTTTAAAACTTGTTTACTTATGATTCTTTATTCGCAACTAAAAATCTTAAAAAATTGCTTTTTCTGATTATTTCAGGCGACATTAACGAGATAAAAGTTTTTTAGAGCTGCTAAAATGTCTTAACTTTTATTGGGAAATAAATTTTTAAGCTAATTCAGCAAATTTTTGCGATAATCTTCTACACAAGGCTAACCTTGCTCTCGAAGTGTAAGATGAGGCTTGTAACACGTTTCCCTAGAGCAGTGATTCTCAGTCGGTGGTACGCAAGAGAAAAATAGGCAGTACGCAAAGAAACAAAGTAAGTAAAAAAGTATTTTTGACGATTAAATTCAAAAATCTCGTGAAGAAAACGAACAACTGATAGAAATTTTCTGTGATGGAACTCTAACTGAATATTTCACAAAAAACACACTTGTTAACTTTTGGGTGAATCGTAAAAAAGAATTTGAAGACATTTGAAATAAAGATATTAATCCCTTTTACACAACCTATTTGTGTGAGCAAGGATTTTTTTCCATGTTATATTTGAAAAAAAAAAAAAAAAAAAAAAAAAGACAGAGCAGAATTAAATGTGGATTCTAATTTACGGTTAAAGCTAAGTGAAATATGACCAGACATAAAGAAATTGATCTCTCTTAAACAGGCCCAAATTTCATAATAAATTTCAGAATTAAATATTATAACTTATATTTTGATAATTAAAATTATAAGCAGTTTTCAATCTAATATTTTTATGTGTGCATATTTAATACAAATAGCCAATAGGTTGTGCAAATGGCAAAATATATTTTTTTAATATTTCTATTGAGAAATTGAAAAATAATGACTGTAAAATTGAAAAATAATCATTCCAAATTTGTAGTGGTGTACTAAAGTTTTTCCACTTTTTTTAGATGGTTCGCGTTACTCAAACGGTTGAGAACCGCTGCTCTAGAGCTTTCCATGTGCACTTCATTGGATTTAGTTCGGAAAGCATATCAGCCAGTCTATACGCTCAGTTCTCAACTCCCAAAGCCAATTTTGATTTCTATGGAACCAACTATTCAATAATTCTTTGCTTCTTATAAATCATGGCATTGAGATAACGCTCAAACAAATTTTGCTTAAAGAACTTGATACTGCAATGACGCAAGCAGGATGATAAGAAATTCCAGTCCACATCAGTATTCTTCAGTTGTGTCAGTTATGCACTTTAACGTCAGTAATGAAATTTGGCATAAGAAATCATCTGATATTTTTCTTATTATATAGATTTTAATTAGGATTTGCGCATTAAGTGACTATAATGTTGGGAAAAAATTTGTTCCTATAACGTTTTGTGCAATGCATGAATGGCTACAAAGCGGTAGGTACTACAAAAGCGTAGTTTGAAGGATGTCAAATGTTATAAGACAAAGTAGACAAAGCTGTGTAATTTTATAATAATTCATTTTACTGTATTTATATGTTTATATACAAAAATATTCATAACAGTAGCCCGGCTCGAAAATCTTTCTTAAAAATTTTAGTAGAGAATTAAATTTCCTTTTTATTTCTGTTTTCTTTACTTTTTCTATAACGTTAATTCAATCTCACTCAGAACTCGTATGAATATATTCCGTCACATCATTTTTTTTACTTGTTACTATGACAATCAAGGTCGTTGCATAATTTAGCCTTTTTGTTATTATTTTGTAACTGAATAGTTTTCTTCATTGTACAAAGTGACTAATATGATATGATCACGTTGAATCTAAAGTATTTGGTCAATATATTCTGAAAAAGATAATGAAGAACTCTTATTTTAACTGTATTTTACAGAGTCTTTCAACAAACATAACTTTATGACGCTGCGCACAATGTTGCTTAGATTATTTAGCATTTTGAATCGATAATACACCATTGCCATTGCATGAGCTATCACAGCAAGAGGTACAGCAAGCTATTACAGAAAGGCCACTCAGTATTGACTTTTGAACTCAAAGACTGGTAAAATAAGTATTTTTCAATAGACGCAAAAGCCATAAATAATTCTATTTACAAGAAATCGCAAAATAACTATTAGTAACCTTTAAAAAAAAAAAAAAAAAAGAGTTTCACTTTAGAGCAAGTTATAAATAGCTCCTAGCAAACTTCCTGAATATTAAAAACCTAATTTTCAACGGTAATGCAATTTTTTTGTACATGAATAATAAATTTTGCAATACACCCCAGAGCCGCTTGTTCATTTTTCTACGCCAGGTAAAATTTACCTAATTGCAAGCGATCTCCTTTTGAGTGAGTCCATCGAGATCAAATGGGCTTCGAAAGCACTCTGATTCCGAATATTTTCTTCTTCTTCTCCAAAGCATATGCCTGACTTTATCGTTTCGGACAAAGTTGCGTTACGGTGTGACTGATAATATATTAAACAGGTTTTGCATATGTCTTTCTGTTTTAACAAGTACTGTAGTGAGTAATAAAGTTAAACAGCTGTATGAGAGAAAAATAATTAATTTCAAAATGTATCAAAACATGCTTTCTCATTTGTAGTCACCAGCTTTGTGTTTTATTTTTCAGGTTATACAGATCATACGGGTAAATTTCAACGCAAGCTTAATGAGCATTTCTTCTTGACGGATCCTGAAGTTTTAATATGGACGCACTTTCCTTATAGTGAGATGGAAAGAAACTACTCCAGGTGATCATTTCTTAAGAGTTCATTCAGCTTTTATTTATATAGCATGAACTTTTTCAGTTTACGATTTTCTTCACAAAGCATCTCCCCCCTTTTTATTTTACCCAAAGGCGAAGTAGCCCACCAGGGCTAGCAGTCTCAAAACGGGTAGCAAACAAAGCGCTAAAAATGTTTCTTTGGGCGTAACCATAAAATCTGAAAGCTTTCGGATTTTTATTATTTATTTATTTATTTGCTAACTCCTCCCCCCCCTACTACATAATAGCAAAACTGAAGGATAAAGTGTGCTGTGAAGTAAAGGTGCTGGTATAAGTTTTAAGAGCATAGTAGTCAACATGGATAATGATAATAAAATTGGTACCAATATTATTTAGCTAATTACTTACAAAAGCTACTAATGTATTGTAGCTTGGTTATTATCAACACTATAAACATTTCAAACATTTTTAATAAATATTTGTGTAATTTAATATTTTCATATTTATTCTTCTTTTCAATGTTCTAAGAAATTGCGGTGCCACTGCAATTAAACAGCTATGCATTGCTTCTAAGTTCTATCAAATGTTTTGTGCTGTAAATTTTATTTTGAATGTAACAAATTTGATTCTCTGAACTAAGTCTTTAAAAACAACATATTGTATAATATATTCCTATTATTCCAGTTAATTAGAAGTATATAAATTAATAATTTGTAAAATTTAATTTTTTCGGCGATAATTTCTAAAAAATGATTCATTTCAAAGAGCAGTATTGCATATTTCATTTCGATAAGCACAAAATTGCTCTGCGAAAATTCATTTGTTCAATACATGCAGTTAAAATGACAATGAAGGACTTATGAAGTACAAAATGTTATCGAAAAAACGTTTTGTCAAAAATTAACTACCCAAATAACTGAGCAATGCTCTGATGTTTTTCCTTTTTACGATAAGAGCGAAAGTCCTCTTTGAAATTCTTTCGGTAACTGGAAAACATTCTAATTCTATCGTAAAAGCAAAATGGAGTACAATAAATTCCCATGAATTATAAAATGCGAGTAAAGTCATACTTTATTTTTTTTCCGCTACATTCGGAAATTAATCATTCCAAGAATTTTTTTAAAGTGAATTATATAAAATAATTACTAAAACTCGGGATGGTGGCGACGATATTCACTTATAACTCTTCGAAGCTATTTGCTGTCTATTTGCTAATTGTTCAAAGAAAATGTAATGGAAGTTATTCATCATTTGTGTTTATTTGGAATGGATATGATATGGACCCTCAAACTCAATGTATTGCTTTCGGTGAACTATTATCCAATCAAAGTATGAAACCATCGTTTCTTATCTTGAATCTAAACATCCCAATTTAAAGTATAAATCTAAAGAATGTTTTAAGAGGAAATTATCGGAGTTCAAAAATAGTAGAAAAGCAATGAAAAGTTTTGTTACTTCAAGTGAAAATGCTTTGGAAGCTATTTACCTAGTAAGCCTAAGAATTGCCATAACTGGCCAGACTCACACTATTAGAGAAAAACCTTATAATACTAGAAAGTAAAGATATTGTTTAAACATTAGTCAACAAAAAAGTTGCCAATGAACTTAATAATATTCCGTTATCAAATGATATAGTACGTCAACGAAGTCATGAAATGGCAAATTCCATAAAAGAAACACTTATTCAAAAAATAAAGCACAGTGATTATTTCAGATTGCAGTTGGATGAAAGTACTGATATATCGAACTTTGTTCAATTATCAGTTTACGTATGTTTCAAAGAAAATAAACGAATTGCCGAACAGTATTTATTTTGTGACTCTCTTCATGACAGAGCAACTGCAAATGAAGTTTTCAAAGCAACTGACAATTTTATGCCTGAGAATGATCTTCCTTGGAACAAGTGCATTCTCGTGCATTGACGGAGCTCGGGCTTTAACAAGAAAACTTTCCGGTGTTATTTCTCAAATAAAGAAAGCCGTACCTGATACTAAATTTACTCATTGCTACATTCATCATGAAGTTTTAGTAGCCAAAACAATCTCCGTAAAGCTGAAAATCGTTTTGAATCAAGCTACGAAAATTATTAATTTTATTAAAAGTCGAGCTTTAAATTCAAGAATATTTACGATTTTATGCCAAGAGATGGGTAGTGATCATGAAACGCTTTTTTACATTCCGAAGTAAGGTGGTTATCCGAAGGCAAAGTTTTAAATCGTCTTTTTGAACTTCGATTAGAAATTTAAATTTTCCTCTGTGATATAAAATTTGAATTGGAAAATTCTTTATCTAGTGAATTATGATTGGCGCGTTTAGCATATTTAGCTGATATTTTTGGAAAGTTAAAGAAATTAAATTTGGGATTGCAAGGACAAAGTGTTAATTTGTTTACGGTTAGAGATAAAATAAATGCAATGATAAAAAAATCGAGCTAATAATCAAAGAACTGAATAATAATATTTCAAGCTTTTTATCACTTTTAGAAAGTTTTCTAACCGAAATTAATTCGAAAATAAAAGAAGAATTAGCATTCTACATTAAAAATTATTGCTTTTCATTGATAAATAATTGAAATATGTATTTTTCCGAGAATTATGAAAAAGAAAATTGGACTAGACATCTATTTTGCTCAAATGCCCCTGAAATTTTATCTCGTGAAGCAAAAGAACAATTGATAAAAATTTACTATGATCGAACTCTAACTGAAGATTTCAAAAATAATGCACTTGTTAATAATAATGCACTTGCTAATATAATTCGCTTGTTAACTTTTGGTTAAATCGAAAAAAAGAATCTAAAGGCATTTCAAAATAAAGCTACTAAATTTTTATGGCCTTTATGTGCAACCTACTTCTGTGAACAAGGATTTTCTTCTATGTTATATTTGAAAAATAAATACAGAACAAAATTAAAATTGAATCCTAATTTACGGTCAAAACTAAGTGAAATATGACCAGACATAAAGATATTGATGTCTCTTAAACAAGTCCAAATTTCACACCAAATTTAGAATTAAAGTGTTATAAACTTAATTTTGAGAATTAAAATGGTAATTAATTTTTAATCTAATATTTTTATGTGTGTATATTCAATACAGATGGGCAATAGGTTGTGCAAATGGAAAAATATATATTTTTTAATAAGTCTATTGAGAAATTTAAAAATAATCATTGTAAAATGTACTGGTGGTATTAGAATTTTTCAGTTTTTTTTTTAGACGGTACGCTTTAGTCAAAAGGTTGAGAACCGCTGCACTAGGCAATAATCTTTGAAAGGTGCAGAGGAAAACCGATAAACAGCTGCATGTTTCCAAAACTTTGCGTTTGGAAATCATCTTTGCGTTTGGCACTTCGATGGCAACGATGTGTAATCTGACAAAAATGTCTGACCTAATACGGGAATGCTGTTGCAAATAAAGCTCTTACGAAACAACACTCTGAGTTACCTGCTCTCTTCAAAATAATCATGAAACTCCTTTCTATTTTGGAAGAATTTATTCTCCCCTTTCCAATCAAACTTATTCATCAACACTGTTACGTAAAACAATATCAGAGTTGAAGAAATGTTACGAACAAAATATTCACAAAATGATGTAGCCTTAAAAATATGCGCTCCACTTTTAAATTAAACAGATGCACTTCTTTTAATAGTTTTAAAAGTATTCTAACAACTCTAAACCTTAAGATTCTATTTGTATTTTATAATATTACTTTAAGTTAATACTTTTCTTATTTTCCAGGTGGCAGCTTCTTGACAAACCAATCAAACTGGATGAGTTCAACGCTTTGCCAAAAGTGACACCTTTCTTCTTCGAATACAATTTACGAATCCGATCTCGACCACAAAATCCCGTTATCTTTCGTGTCCAAACAGAACTGAAAATCGCAGCCCATAAACCTACACGCTATAAGTATAAACTGTATTCTGTAGAAGACAGAGAGAATGGTACACTGAACAACCATGTCTTTTGCCAGTTGAAGGAAGACAGACTTTTAGGTTCTTTTGCTATTGCTCCTCCAGCAGAAGGCTTGTATTATTTCAAGGCAAGTCTAGATTTTATGTTAATAAAATTAACGTTTTATTACTTAAAAGAGTGTTTTCTGCAGATGATACTGCCCATATCCTTCTCTACGGCATACTTCGTCTAAGCATCCCCATTTATGGAAAAAGACCGTAATATAATTTTCGAATGCTGTTATAAAATTAGATAAATTTACCCAACTTTTAATTTTATCTTAAAAAGGTCTAATTTTTAGCATAAAGGATACTCTTAGGATTTTTTTAAGCAACAAGGCTTTTTTTTTATATATCTGAGGCCTAACCGAAAAGACAAACTTACAATTCATTATATGTAACTTGTTATGTAACTGAAGTTTATATTTGTATGTGTCATTGAAAAAAAAAAGGGTATTTTTTAACATCCTTATCTATTCCAGGTTTTCTAAGCAATTGATATGATTTTTTTCAGATACACTAAAGCCATTCATATAAGACCTAATGATATGCTAAAATTAATACCTTTTCTATGTATGCAAGACCTGAATGGCAAATGTACGAAGACACAACGCTTAAGAACGTAGCCATTTTCTTGCTGGAGTGTGTGAAGGCCAAGAAACACATCAATCCTTACCCACTCCATGACGTGCCTTGGGGTCCAGCTCAATCGTTTTACGATTTCAAAATGAAGCTTGTCAATCAGATGGGACCCGTCATCGTTACGTGGGGTGGGAAACGAAAGCTTGTCATTGAAACTGCCAGCGTGATGCTCATTACACAACAGGTAATTTACAGAATTCTTAAAATTTCAATTTCATTAGTCATCTGGCTACGTTTAGACAAAAAGGCTTAAAATTACTTTAGATATATATTTTTAGGAAAAAAGGAAAAGAACATGAACAATGACAGATTTTGGTAGGGTACCAGAGTTTTTATATATTTTTAAATCATAAAGGTAAATTAATATATTTCTTAATTTTAATTCCAGTACAATAAAACGCCAGTCAACAAAATCGCTAGTTTTTCTAAGAAGGCCAGATAAAACTGAGCATTTGTTAACTTATTTACGTTTTTCAATCATTTTTTATTTTGACTGAAATACACTGCTTTTCAGAAATTAAGGAAAAATCACAAAAATAGCGATAACTCGTTCAAAAATAAAACAATCTATATAAAATTTGAATATGATGTCAAATAAAAATTATTGAGTAAAACTGCAGTATGCAAATTAGTGGGGCTGCAATCGGAATACATTACCTGCGAGGAGCATAAAATTGCATGTTGGAGGCCAAGCCTTCTAATTTGCTGTGATACAGAGATAAGAAAGCTGAGATAGCCAATTCGTAGCAATGACCTCCAGGCATCATTTCCCCGAAAAACTGCAATGGAGAGCTATTGGAAGACTACAGGCTGAACAAAATCAGACAGAATTGGTCAGATGGCTAAATATGAGTCTTTCTATAATTCATAGACTTTGGCAACAATTTCTAACCATGGATTCAGCATTCAGGCGTATCAACCAAGGACGGCCAACCACTATGACAACCGCCGATGGCCAATATTTATTGTTATGTGCATGAAGGAATAGAACCACAACTAAACTCAGATCCTTCCTTGCTGCAGCCACCGGAAGGTTGGTGTCAGCATCAACCGTACGTAGGAGGTTTCACGAAGGAAGTCTGTATGCAAGGCGACCAGCCAGTTACGTGCTGCTCACGTCAAACGTTATTAGATTCGAGTACGTCAACATGTCCACTGGACGGCTTTCAATAAACTCCTACTAAATCTAAACTTACTTATAGGCTTCCACGTTCATCAAAATTTAATACCAGTTTCAATTAATAGTTTTTAACTGCAGCTCACCAAGGGTTCGAAAACCTTATCTGATAATTTCCCAAAGCAAAATACCAAAATAAGATTTGTACTAAACAAATAATTTTAAAAAAATATTGCAGACGTTCATGTTACAATAGGCGAAGCTCTTTTGCGTAACATGGTTACCTTACTAGGCTGACATTCTCACTAATTTCAAAAGACGTTTACTTCTCTGATTAAATGGACGGATTCTGCAAAGACTAAAGAGCAACACTGATTTTTCGAATGCTTGCTTTTTCCTGAATCTTTAAATTTTTGCATCCCCCCCCCAAAAAAAAAACAGCAAGAGCACATAGAAGTACCTATTCTGCTTACAGTGGATGGATAATTTCGTTTGTCTAATCATAATGTGCATAGGCATTTTATTTTCCTTTACTGCAAACATTTTATATGCAGCAAGTCATTATCTTAGTGCCGTTAATTGTGCTCCATTACCTGCCGTTTGCGTTTATTGTGATATCTGCGCTTTAATCTTCCCGCTGACAAAAATAACTTTAAATAAAACTCTTTATTTATGTTCGTTTAATAAAAATAAGGATATTCTCCGAACATCTTGTATTCTTAATTCTCATTGTAAATAACCACCTCTACAATTATAAACTATTTAATAATAAATTATCATTAATTAACAGAAAAGCATAGACTAGCCTATCTAATACAAAGTTTCAAACTAAATTCTTTCGCCAAACTGATTATTGTTCTATTTTTCAGCTATTTGATGTGAGTGGTAAGGAGATGGACACCAGAGGTATCATTCAGAGGGAAGACTCCGATGCCCGAATCTCCTTCACAATCACTCCTCCAAGGATAGGCTACTATAAGCTCCTCATCTTCGGTATGCCGAAACCTAAACTTAAAGGCAAATGGAGACTACCTCTCCTTGCATCGTTCCTCATAGACTGTAAACTCACTAAGAATCCAGGGGAGGATGATCCATATAATTCGAATAAGAAAGAAACCAAGAGGAAGAAGATGAGGATACCTACAGTGAGATGAAGTCCCAGAAAATATATATTCGTTAATGAAGAGGAGTCTGAGCAGAACTTGGCTTGGAGGATTGGTTTTAATTTGTCATCAAATAGTCATTGTTATGGTTGTTCTCGACTTTGCTCTGGCATCTTAACGAATTTGTCATCTTCAAAGCTCTAAAAGAAAACTGATGACAAGTATAATTCCAGTATATCATAGATAAGAGTTCTTGAAACAGGAATGTCAAATGTTTAGCAATAAGAAATGAACAGAGCTTAATATGAAAAATTTATGTGTATACGTATGTGAAAGAATTTAATCAAATTTGATGTGATAAAATTCCGAGCCATAAATTAAGATAGTTAAAACCTTTTGGGATTAGTAAACATTAAGCCAATTTTAACATCGTCATGGATGTAAAAAAAGGACAGGGGTTTGAAGAATATTTTTTACTGTTCATTCTCAAAGTGGCGAGAGTTTTTCATCTGAATTTTTTAATACTATAAAAGGTAAAATTAATTTACGTTCATTTTATAGAAAAGGAGCTGAAATAGCTCTGTTATCATCTTCCTTTTCCTTGTCTTCTACTTCCTTACAAATTCCATTCCCCATTCCCATTTTCACCATTGATTAATTTCACCTGTAATCATGTACCAAGTGTTTTTCACAAACAGGACATTACAAATACATACCTTATGAATCAATTATCTTTGCTTAGAAATGTCATTTCATATAAGTAACCTACTTTTCATGTATTTCCTATAAGTGTAGATAATTTAAACTTTTCTTTTCTACTTTTTTACATCTATTTAATAAAATAACATTCAATATTTATTTGCAAAATAAAGTAGGATTTTATATTCAAAACTGAAAGCTAAGTTCCTATACAAAAGCGTTTATATCAATGAAAATATGGCAATATATGTACTTTTATTTATTAGAATAATCTGAACTAAATTTCCACCAAATTACGTTATGTTTTTTACGCAGAAACAAGTATATTATTAAATGCTGGGTATAAGTGACAATGCTAGCCATTCCTCTAACAAGATTTGTTTAGAATATGCTTACATAAAAATAAAATAAATGTTAATGATTAAAAAAAAAAAATTTCAGTTTTTGAAAATAATTTTTTTAGAAATATTAGTTTTTCTCAAAATTAAAGCTTTTAATTTGCTCAAACAAATAATGTAAAGTTGATTAAACTTTTTGTGAAACGCATAATTTTTTTTATACTTATCAAATTAAAAATTTATAAAATTAAAGAAGAAAAATATTCTTCTTAATGCAGTGGATTTGAGTTCTTACGAACTTCCCATTTATGAATTACTCGTTTATATGAATTATCACACTTAGCTCAAAAATTATTCTACAGAACTAACTTTAACTGCCGTTAAGGCAAATTGTATATTTTTACCTCTCCAATGCCATTCGAATTTACGTATTTTCATTTTTATGAATTATTTTAAAAGTCCATATGAGTTCGTAAAATCAAGAGTCAACCGAAACGGAAATCATGCCATTTATTGAGAAAATAGTATAAAACTTATTTCTTTTTTTTTATTGATTATATATTTTATAAATGCAGAGTAATGCTATTAAAAAATTGACATTATTTTTATGAATTAACATGGATATCGTTTTCCACAAATAGGTCAATATAAATCAGAACAAGATTTCAACGACCTTGCATGCAAATTTCTCAATTTATCATTAAATACTTCGCATTGAGTTTCAAAAAACATATACTAAAATTTCATTAAAAACTTAAAGCATCATTTGTACCCAGTTACGTATCGCATTATTTAAATAAATTAACTAATATGATATTTAAGTTCTTTTTAGGAAATGCTTCTTTTTCCTATGTATATAATTTATTGCTATTAATTCTTGTCACCATTCTGGTTCTATGAATTTCTTTTTAATTCTAATTCATGCGAGTTTAAATTTTGAGTAAATATTTTCTTGAAAAATAGACATTATTCAGTGAGCACATGTGTTAGGTATTATATCAGAATAAATTTTATATTTAGCAACAGACAGTTAAATTAATATTTGAAAACTTAAATGACATTAATTAAGTTTAATGGAATCAAATACATTTTGTTATTTCTATTATTTTGGCTTGTAACTGCAAGTTGTGCTTTTTTAATTAACAATATTTTTTATTTTAATTAATTTTAATATTTTAATTTGATATATTTTTAATTTTAATTCGTTGATAAATTTAAATAACAGTGATTACTTAATTTGCTGTTGAATTGAAGCAATACGTCAATATTATAGTTATTATGATCTTCGCCTGAATGCCTTTAATTCCTTTTTAGTGAAACATCAACTAAAGTCCTTTTAAAGCTCAATTTACCCTTAAGTGTTTTCATCAATCGGTCCAGTAAATTCAATCCGTTATTTGAGTGTATTTAAGTAGTAATAATAAATTAGACTGCTTAATAAAAATCGTCTTTCCCCCTACACTAATATAGTTCATTCGGTGAATTTCCATTCAAAAAACATTTGAATTAGTCCCAATGTATCACGAATAATAATGCTTATATGTTAGCATATGGCAATTTTGAAAATGATTATTCATTCAGAAACCTTTTTATCCCTTTCCTAAATTAACACAATAAACCATGAGATCTTTAAACACAGTTAATAAATAAAGCATTGTGCATCCGTTTTAGTTATAATATAATATCAAGATTATTAATCCACAAAGGTCTAAAAAACGTTAACGTAAACTTGCAAATTCGTAGAATATGCAGCAAAAGAACATGAGAATAAAGTTAAGAATAATTCTGGGACACGTTGGAAAAACAATAGAGATACGCGATATTACGCGTTAAATTTAGATCTTAGTAATTTGCTTCATAACTTGACAGTAATCTGTAGCAGACTTAGAAGTAAATTTTTATTCGTACATATTAAATAGATGTGCGTATTCTTGACCAGAGCAAATTTTATTGAACGTTTTGTATCTATTGAAAAAAAGTGAAAGAAAAACAACAGACACCCGCATTTTTGCTGAGATATTGATTTACGTTCAGTTGAACTTCAAGGCAGTTGAACTTTATTTAAATTATAACTTATATAAATGTTCTTGCAGCTCTCTCACTTACGCAATGCTTAATTCAAACTGCTTAAACAATAAAATGAAGTACTTTCAGCAGTGTGTGCTAAAGCAACTATAAATATTTAAACAGCATTTCCCTATGAACACTATATTCAACTAAGTGAAGCTGTAAATGCTACGTAGCACTTTCAGTTACACACCCAAGCATTTAAGTGTTGAACCAACTAACATGATTGACTAGCATTTTCAAATTTCTCGTTGAATTCAGCTTCATGAAACAATTAAATGTTTTTTAGAACTCTTAACTCTTCATTTTATATTCAGATCGTTTCAGCAACTATAAATATTTGAAATATTTTGAATTCAGTCTATTGAAGCAGATTAATGAAAATGCATGAGATAACATAATTCACATTTCTTTTCGGTTGCAGAAAATAGTACTTCTGTAACTAGAAAAAATGTAAGTACCATTTTTTTTTTGGCTACTGTTTTTATGATAAAAATGAAATGATGTTAAGTAAAATTTCGTAAAGCAAGGCAAATATGTATTACGAATTTCAAAATAGTTATGAAAAAAAAAAATGACGGCTATGCTGACAAAAAGAAAAACAGTTTCAAAATACAGACCTTAAAATATAAACAGCCATTGAATACCATATTAACTTATGGGAAACATTCACATTTCATCTGTTTAAAAACATTACTTAATCACATATTTTTAGTTAATTATATTCAGAAATTTCTAAGAAAGCAAATCATTTGTGCAAAATAGAATTAATACTTATCAAGAACATGAACATTCCGCTCAAGATTCAAATGAAAAAAGGAAATTTAACCAAATAAGAGTCTGCTACCGGTTATGTTTAGTTAAAAATTATATGAGATGTATATATTGATGTGTTAGATAAATGTAAATTTCTCTAATGTATATGTAATTAACCGACAATATTCCACTATGTTTAAATGTACAGATAGCTAGATCGATGCTTATTTCAAACATTCAAAGTTTTCTCAAGAGAAAACTAAGAGCCCTTATATGAATCCGTCCAATATCGAGATGCTCATATCTTTGTATAAAACGAGTGATTTAAACAGTTATGCAAATAAATTATAGAATAAAAGTTTAGGCTTCGTAATGGGATAAATAAACCTTTTATAAAGATTTTCTCATCTTGTATCAAAGCAATAACTCAGGAATATTCAGATTAATGTGATGTAAAATATGTGCGAAGATTTTGGCAAGAATACCGTGCTAATTAATGCCACTTTGTTTCAACATATATATTTTCTATAGTGTCCTAGTTGAAACAGAACGATATCATTCATTACGCGGAAAACATCTTCCTCATGCAAATTTCATGTTACGATTTATAGCCATGTAAATATATAGATGTTAAATTCTTAATTTGCTTTGACTCATTCTGCAGTATTTTACGTGTAGATAGTAATAAGTAAAGGAATCAGCTTTTCAAAATGTATTCCATTTAATATAAAATATGCAGTGTGTAATGCAGGTATGTGCAACTTAATGGGAGTACGGCCTGTATTAGATATTAAAAATATTACACGGGACGGAGTACTTTCAGATTAATTTATATAAAAACATAAAACATGAATACGTCTTAATTAGTTTAATCTCTACGTTACTACATATAAACTTCCATTACACAATATAGAAAAGTATAACATACAAAATAAGACAATATTCTTAAATAATATTAATAATAAAAAACTTTATAATGCGATGATTCCGATTTCATGGTTGACATAAGGTAGCCAATTATTCGAGGATACGGCTAGCGTTGAAAGTATCAACATGTTTTCCAGGTGCGTATCAGTAATTCGAGTCTTTCTCTTGGATTTCACGAACTTCATCCTAGAAAAAAAGGGGTGCTTGTCTTACATGCTTCCAAATGACGTAATTCTTTCTTAGCAAAAGCGACCCCCTTGGAAACTTGTCACGTGAGAAATAGTTTAAAAGTCAATTAGTACAATATCCTAGATTTTTGTCTGCAGAATAAGTTTCTCTTGTAGTTTGATTAATTCTATTTGCAAAGAAAATGGTACTAATTCGACATCGACACCAAATGAAGAAGAAAATTCGAAAGCTTGCATCTTGGTTTTTAAAATCACTGAACCAAGTATTGAATGCTTGACTCAAAGATTTTAACTCATCAGCAAACGATTCGCAATCAAAATCATTTTTGCAGTTAACAAGTGCGGGAAAGTAGTGAGTATTGCCTTTCCTTAATATATTTTCCCAGAGTCGAAGCTTATTCTGAAATGATTTTAGTAGTCCATAAGGCTCATGAATCAACTGTTCCTGAGTTTGTAACAGAATTGAGTTCATTGAGATATGTTGTGATGTCGAAAAGAAATGCAAGATCACACAGCCATCCGTGGTTTGCTTTCCAGTTCCTGAACAGGTTTTTCATTTCATATCCATCAAAAGAGATACTTCATCTTTCAAATTAAGAAAACACTTCAGCATCTTCCCATTACTTAGCCAAAGCACTCTGCAATAAATTGTGTGATCTTCATGTTCGAAATGAACGTCAGCCAGTTAATTCTCGAAATTGACGTTAGAATTTTCAGCTTGATGAAATTTATGCAGGTAGTTATCGTGCCCATCACATGAGCAAATTTGATTTATTTTGCAAAAAGTGTTGTTGAAGTATAATGCAGTGAATTATAGATAAATCTTCCGTATCAATTTTATTACCAGATAAGTCTTAATTTTATTTGGGCAACAAGCTCCATCGGTAGATATTTCATTTAGCTTTTCCCACTTTGGATTGAATCTAGCAAAAACATCCCCCTTCTGAAAAATTCCTTTATTCCTTGTAGAAGAACCAGACGAACAACAAAGCCACACTACTATGAGCCACTGGCAAAAACGGCAATTAACCCCTTAACTGCCGCGGGCGTATATATACGCCTTGCTCAGCCGATGCGTTAACTGCCCCTGATGCGCCCAGATGCGCAGCCGATGCGTTAACTTTGCGAATAATTTTAGGTGTAGCAGCGCAAAGCAAATGATAGCAGTTTGGAAGGACGTATATATACGCCTGGGGCAGTTAACGCATCGGCTGAGCAAGGCGTATATATACGCCCGCGGCAGTTAAGGGGTTAAGAAGCAATTCCTATGAAAACAAACAAATAAACAAAAAAAGGTGAAAAGAAGTTTTAAAAACGGGTAAAAAACTGTTAAAATAACAATTTTTACAAAATTATTCATTACAACTACCAGTGTTTGTTGTTCATATTTAATCAGCTAATAGGCCAGATTCAACAGTATTCGGAAAAGTCGCTGTACCAAATGAAAACGCGGGCCAGATCCTGTCAGTGGATTCTGTGTTGCACATGCCTGGTGTAATGTATTTGAATAATTGTACTATTTATTATGTATATACAGCTCCAAGGGGTAGAATTTTCTTCTATGTATATAACATTATTAAATGCCTTCATTTATTGTGTAGTTTTCTTTGACAGAAAGCTGCCATGCCCTTATGTATTCCGTCCAAATAAAGAATACAAATAAAATTTGTTTCAATAATAGGTTTGAAAATGTTTAAAGTATTATTTTTGTAACCATATTTCTCAGATTCGCATACTGTACTTCTTCATTTTATTAATTTTCTATCAAAGTATTTTTATTCAATAAATTCAGAGGTCAACTCATTAATAACAAGCTATCTTAGAATTCAAAATCTGAAATAGAGTTAAAAACTAACAGGAATTCTTTACATATAAATATATACGCACACATGTATACACATACAAATATATGCACACTTGGCACAGGAAAGACAATCGAAAAATATCCCGCTGACTATACAGCTGATTACAGGCCCGGATCGAATAAGTGCGGGGCCCGATTGGTGAGGGTTTTTTTTTTTTTTTTTTGCGGGGCCCTCTTTATATATTAAATATTTAAATAAAATTCAAATTCAACATATATATATATCTGCCATGGATCATCAGACAGGTAAACTTCCACATAAATTTAAAAATAAAAATGTTCAAAATAAAAAAAAAAAAAAAAAAAAAAAAAAAAAATTATTGAATATAAATTTACATCACCGAATATGAATACATGAATTTACATATTTCTAAGTTTTTGTTCTGTAAATTCTTCTAAAATTGTTTAAAAATCCAATTTCCTTGCGTCTTCACTTTCAATCGACATAATTGCTAAACTATTTAATCTATTCTGATTCATTGTCAATCTCAGATAGTTTTTATTAGTTTTAGCCTGGAAAATGATCTCTCTCCTGAAGCAATGCTTACTGGAGTTGTTAAGAATATTCGGAGAGCAATAAACAAGTTTGGAAATGCCGTTGCTCTGTCATTATCCGATAAAAATTGAACATTTTAAACGGATTATCAAAAAATTCTGAAGGAAAAATAGATTTCAAAGCTTCTATTTCTTTAACTAACATTTTCCCGTCTATATCAGCTTCTTTCCCCTTTGGTACATCATTTCATATTAACTTAGAATCTGTTAGAGAAATTTCTAATTCAGCTGCATGTTTTTGAAGTACTTCTTTTTCCATATTTTGAAATTTTCCTAGAAACCCAAATAATTCATTATGATCTTTTAAATGTTCAAAACGATCTTTTAGTGATTCTGTAGCTTTATGTAAAACAACATTAAAAAAAGATATCTTGTATGCATTTATCGGGTCTTCGATAGGTTCATCATCGCCTTCATAATTGAAATGTTCCTTTTCCGAAGCCTTTTATTTCGAAATTATGTTGATACTTCCAAATCTTCTGCAAAAGTTTTTGCCTGAACTAAAACTTGTTCGAATCTAGTATTTCTGTAGTTGCTTAATCATTTTAAAAGTTTTTCCAAATAAAAAAAGTGCAGTGGATACGTCTACAGATTCATTTTGAACTTCCTTGCTAACAGTAAGTCCTTTTACATATTTGAGAAGTACTAACCATAATTAAGACACAATAACACGCCTAACTTCTGAATCAAGTACTAACCATCTTTTTGAAGATGCCGAAAACAAAGCATATAGGCGTTGGAGAATACCAAAGAAGGTTAAAGCTTCTGGGCAAATTGTTGCCATATCTCCCAACACTAGATTATTAATGTGACAAACGCAAGGAGTAAAAAAATGCCCGTGGATTTTCTTTTAAGAGTCTAGCTTGCACCGCGGAGACTTTCCCCTTCATGTTCGAGCCATTATCATAGCCTTGCTCTCTTATGTTGTTGATGTCAAGTCCTAAACTTTGAATTTCCTTTTTTAACACAAAAAATAAATTTTCTCCTGTGCTGCTCTCTACATGTATAAATTTGATGAATTGTTCATATATAGCAATATTCGAGCCTGGTAATGTTCCAACCGAAACATACCTGATGCTAAGAGACATTTCTTCTTGATGACTGACATCATCTGGAGTACAATCCAGAATCACGGCAAAATATTTTCCATATTTTATTCTATCAATAATTTTATTTTTTAGTTTGTTGCCTATTAAGTTTATTATTTCATTTTTTGCTTAAATAACTTTGGTGTATTTGTTTTGTGACAATTCTTTGCATATGATCCTGCATTACTGGATCAAATTTTCCAAGTAATTCAAGTATACCTAGGAAATTTCCATTTCGTGCATCACCTAGGTTTTCGATAAATCCCCTAAACGTGATATTACGTTCTACTAGAAACTAAACTACAGAAAATAATTTTTCAAATATGAATAAATCTCATCCAGCAATGCGAACTTAAAATAAATATATTTTTAATTATTTGAATAATTCATAATTTATCCATTATCGTTAAAAGCAATTTGCTTTAAATTTCGAAATTTCTTTTTGTTCATTTTGATGGTAACGCGGGGCCCGATTGGGCTCAGTCGCCCTTTATCTGGCCCTGACTGATTAAGAAATCAAGCCAAATAACTGAATAGTGACTACGCGCGACGGTTAGAAATCTAGGACTGATGATGGCAAGTAAAAAAACAAACTTGAAAATTAGAAGCGTAGCTATGGTTTTCAGCGCCCTTTTCTGTGTGCCAAGAATGGAAAACATTGCATTCTAAAATTTTGTGACATCAATTTGGCGCTCCCTGCAAACTGCGCGCGGGGGCAGATGAACCCTCTTGCCCCATCCTAGCTACGCCACTGTTGAAAATAAACTCATTTTTGACAATGCAATGCATTTAAGTGAAACTTTATGCATTGCATTATAAGCATGTCTGAATGTTAAATATATGTAAGTGCAAACGAAAAAATCAGAAGTTGTTATGAGGTGAAAGAGTATGAATGTCTGATCAACCTGCACCCTCGTATCTGGGTCAGAGTAAAATGACAACCCAACGATGCTGTGGACAGTGGAACATGTAATCCAGTCCTTAATACGCAATGGCAATATCCCCGAGAAGTCCGCAGTGGTCGGTCAAGGAAATAAAAGAATTATATAACACAACACATTCGGAAACCTCACGTGCGGCATTGATCGAGTTGCTTTTGACCATCCTCGATAATATAATTCTACGGCTATGGATTTATTAATCAAAATTAATACAAGACGTAGAACAAGTGCTTAGAATAAGTAGTGAGCATCAAAGATTCGTCTGTCGTGGCGTCTTTTTTGTATCATCTGAATTAGTGCCTAACTGGTCCTGTGATCTTCAGTTATACATTACAATTCACAGTGGGTACCAGTTGCCTTCGCGAAAGGTTTGGATTCAGGCCCACCAATGCACAAAACTTGCTTTTATTACATAAAATTATGGTTTTCCTGAACCAATGACAGCTTTGGGAGAAGTTTTCTAAAATAGTGGGCATCCTTAGTAGATCTCTCAGCCATCTTTCACGGCGGCATAATCAACTATGCTGCCACGGGAAAGAGAGAAAGGAAAATTTAACTTGAGAATATCGACCTATTATGCAACTGATTAAGAAATACAGGCAAATATATGCACGGAAAATTTTCATTGAAGGTAATATATGAAAAGTATGCGAGGAAAATAAAGGCCTGAATACGATCGTACTTGTCAGCAACTGCTCTTAATTACGCTTGAGCAAAAGCAGTTGCGCTTTCACATTACAAAAATGCTTCGATGACGAACTTGTACATAGTACGAGTGAATAAGAAAAAGTTTTACTATTAGTCTAAACGAGGCCGGGTGGTGTTATTCAGACATAGCCAAACTGCGGCTCCCGAGCCATATGAGACTCTTTTGCCCTTAATGTGATTCTTCTATGAAAAACAGTAGTTTTATTGAAGTAGAGTTGCATTTTATGACAGAAATCGTGCGACATTCTTTCTCGAATTCATAAAATAAAACGTAGAAAGTAAAATGGCATAATATTCAAAATTTTCAAATAAAACGAAGAAAGAAAAATGGCATAATATTCAAAATTTTTAAATAAATAACAATTTACAATCTGAATTTGAAGAAAAAAAAAAATATTTAGGAATACTTTTTTTCAAAATGCACCCATATCTACTAAACAGAAATTAAATTCATAATTAGTTTTCTGAATCTTCAGTTTCAGTTTGTCAACGTAGTTTGACAAACATATTTAAGTAACAACCGAAATCCAACTAATAGTCAAAAAATCAGCAGCGAGGCTGAATAGTTCATCTGATAGACAACTGCAGCCGTGTTTGCGAAAGAGCGTTTATATACCGTATATCATGAGTTTTTACAAACATCAAACAACGTATTTATACTCAGTTATTTATGCCCATTATTATTATTGAGAATATTCTATAGTTAGTTTCGAGAAAGCACAACATACCGATTACTTGAAAATTCTAGCAGATTCGTTGGATGTCGTATTCGAACATTGTGGCACTTGAGGACGTCACAAGGTGATTCAGACACATTTTTTAAACTGCAACGAACGCATTCTTTTTTCGGTGAATTCCAAAGTTCTGTGTTAAAAACTTACGGCGGTTTATTAGGTTAGGATTTGAAACATTAAAAAAAAAAGCTC